GAGAGAGAGAGAGAGAGAGAGAGAGAGAGAGAAAGAGAGAGAGAGGAGAAAAACACCTTGCAAGGTTAAGTCACAGTCATACAAAGTCAAGAGTTCCATCTTTTAAGAGCCTGGGACATGTTTTTAAACTGTGACTGTCTAATCAGTGGCTCTTTGCCCATCACTGGCGCCCAGGGCTCCGAGCATCTGGACCTGGAACACGGATATGTGTGGGTGGGATGGGAAGCTGTGCGGGCCGCCTGGAAGAATCAGTCTTTGTCTTCGTCTTAACATGCACCTGCCATCCTCAAACCCTTGGAAAACATTGACTTTTACCTTCCAAACCTCTTGGAGCCTGGGGGGATGGGGGTGAAGGCTGGAGCCCACAGAGCCGCATTCCAGCCATTCCAGCCTCCTGACAGCTCCTGGTACTGTAGCCACTGAACCTTCAATGTCCAAAAATTCCAGCTGACTCATCCGTGGGTGAACAAGGCCAATTCAAGGGGAGGGTGGAACCTTGTGAGGCTATCTCTGTTGAGGTCCCCAATTCAAAGGGAGAGCAGGGCATGGGGTGATAGCCTGGATGTGAGTCATTTCTGTTTGAATGGCATTCAGGTGTCTTTTGAGACATCAGCACGAGGTAACAGGTGAGGCATGGCTATGGAGTAGCTGCCTTGGCTCTGACCTCAGATCCCTGGACCAGGCTCCATCATTACCACTCTTGTGGCTCCATTAACTCTGGCAGTCTCAGACATCCTGTGGAGATGGTTGTGAGTAGTGGTTCCCAAGCAGTAGTAGATGAAGCAAGAGTATGCAAATGAGCACTTTCCCTGACACACTGGAGCTACTTAGCAATGATGACCTGGATTGGGATGTCACCCCTTTGATGCAATGACGTGAGACCTGCTTCCGGGTGGGCAGGCGGCTGTGTAATCATAGCTCATTTGGTCCCATGAGACTAAAGGCTGCCAAATTGCATGGTGGTGGGAAGTCCCAGCCTGTTTTGGGATTCAGAATGGCATTTCTCTTTGAATTTCCCCATCAGACCAGAGTAGGGCAGCCGAGCCTCCCGTGCACAGAGGGCTGTGACCACAGACAGGGAACAGGGCTAAAGGGAAAGGGCAGTGGCTTTTCTAGTGTTCACAATTCCAGATGGCTTTTCTAGTGTTCCTCCAGATGGCTGATAACCAGATCCCTGCCAAGTTCCTCCTGCCCCTCCCCAGACTTGTACGATGCCAAAGTGTTTCTCAAAAGGGGGAAATACAGGCCTTTCATCACTGCCTCCTCATGGGTTCACAGGCCCCCAGCTTAGCCCTGCCTTCCAGTTGTCTTCCCAGGGATACCTCAGGATATTTACTCCCAGCTCTGTCCTGGGACCAGGGCGGGAGCCTGAGGCATGGAAACAGGAGAAGATATGGATGGTGACACAATATTGGGACTCTCCTTTCCCTGCCTACAGAAGACACACAAGAGGCCAACACAAAGGGACAGGAGATTCAGACGTATCCTTCCTCAGCAGGCTAGCCCTGGGGCAAAGAGACCAACAGTCCTGAGTTCAAATCCTCACCCTACCCCAGATCTGGGGCTTGCCCTATCTCTCATTCTCTTAGGTAAAGTGACTGTGACAATGGCCATCTCTAGAGTTGTGTTAAGGATTGAGATGGCAAGTGTGCAGTGTGGTGTCGTGCATTCACAAAATTACATTTTTATTTTGTCCTCACAGACGAGGGCTTGTCTAACTTTGCTGAACTTGTCACCTTCCAGACAGAGAAACTGAAGCCCAGAGATGGTTGGTGGGAAGAGAACTCAGATGTTGTTTCCATGTTTCCATGCCTCAGCCACTGTACCAGGTTAGCTCCAGAAGGAAGCCATGGTAACTCGGGGAAAAGTCTGCTGTCGGCTTTAGCCCTCGGGCGGCTCTCAGGGCTTCTGCCAAGAGCTGGTTTGGTGGCTCTTCTTTCCCTTTGTGCCCATCAGCATTGGTCCAGATACTACAGGCAGCAGTCCTGGGAGCCCTTTCAGGGTTTGCCTCTTTGGTCTCCTTCCCCGTAGCCCCTCTTTCTTCTGTTTTTCCACAGCTGTCTTTGTAGCTTTGAACATGAAAACCTACAGTTCCAGTGACATTAGAAATTGATTAAACAGTCTCTTTCTCAGGTCTCTGGAAATGCTCCAGTTAACCAGACTTTGCAAAGGGAGAGGGATGGGGTGCCTAGATAGCTTGTAACATGAGCCTTGGAATAGATACAACACAAACTGTCCCTAGTGTTTTGGGCCTTCAATGCCATAAGCTCCCAATCCCAGGGTCCTGCAAACTGGGAGCCGATATGCTTTCTCCTGAACACTGCCGGTGTGTGTCACTTCATTGACTGAGGCCACCTTCCTGCCTCCACGAGGCAGGTCCCCTCACCTCTTTTTCTGCTTGAGAAACTGAGACTGAGAAAGGCCATGTGACTCAGCTGTGGTCACTGAGCCGCTGTGCTTTCTCCAGGTGACCAGTGCACAGCCTGCGAGCTAGACTGTCAGCAGTCTAAACAGAAACGCAGTCCTGTGAGAAGTCCTAGGCTTTGTGTTGTCATTGAAGACAGGGTCAAATCCTTCATTTTACATATAGCCTCACAGGGATCATAGAGAGAATTGCCAACAGTGTCCGTCTAACATGACCAACACAAAAACAGAAAGGTATGTATATTAGTGGGGGTCAATGTGCATCCATGAATGTGTATGTTTTCATAAGGAAAAGGAAGGATTCATATGTGTGAGGGTGTATGTAGGCACGAGAGTGAATGTGTGCACACTGATGTATGTGTGTGTAGGTGTACACACATGGGCATGACAAAGTATGCATCTGGGTTACACAAACATACATGTATCTGGATGGAGAAAGGCAAGGAGATGAGGGACAGAATGGCTAACAAGGGCAGGGATATTGTCATCTCAAGGGGGTTCAAACTTTTGAGACCTCCTTGGCCTAGAGCATCAAATATCTGTTTCTCAGCACCAGCTGTGATTTTTGTTTTGTTTTGTTTGAGGCAGGGTCTTATGTAGCCCAGGCTGGCCCCTGGCTTTGAATTGGCTATGTAGCCAAAGATGACCTTGAACTTCTGATCTTTCTGCCTCTATTTCCTGCATGCTGGGATTATAGGTAAGTGCCATGTCTATTTTATGCTATGCTGGAAATCAAATCCAGGGGTTTGTGTATGCTGGGTAAGTGCCTCATCTCCTGCCCCAACCATACTTTTTTTTTTAACTCTTTTTTTTTTTTTTTAAACCAAGTAGCCCTGGCTGTCCTGGAACTCTGTAGACCAGGCTGGCTTGAAACTCACAGAGATCCACCTGTCTCTGCCTCCCCAGTGCAGGGGTTAGTGCCTGCCACATCCCGCCTCCACAGACCTTTTAAAACACAGTTATCTTTACATATGATCAATCAAGAGGCAGCAACCAAGCACACAGTTCTCTTCCTCGGTGACTAGCTACTCCCTCTTGGGCCCTGTGGCTTCATCAGGCCCAGCTTCCTGGGCCTGGGTGCCCTGAGCCCACAGCTGGCTCTGTACCTCAGGGAGTGTCCCTACTCTATCCAGGGCAGATTAACTTCCCTGGGATTGACTTTGTCTTGGCTCGTGAAGTAACAGCATGGGTTGAGAGCCTAAAGCACAGGCCTCTCCCTCCCACCCCAGGGCCTGGTTCTGCTGAAAACATTTGATTTAGGCTTCTCAATTTGCTTTCCCTGGCTGGGTATCCTGGGCCGAGGGGAAACACCTTGGGCCTCAGCTATTTTGTCTGCTGCAATTTGGGAGAGGGATTTGATATCCACACAGTGGAGGTTCCAGCCCCAGCAGCGGGTTTGGGCTGTTTGTTTGTTGAGTGCAGGGTGGGTGGGGTAAGGCTAAGAACGCTGTAATTGGAAGCAGGAGAGTTGATGTTGACACTTGTGCAGATAAAAATTCTCTGCTGAGGGTCCAGCTTGTGTGATAGCATGAGGGAGCCTGCTATTGTGCGTGTGTCCTGCCAAAGCAAGCCTGTGTTCATTTAAATCTTATTTTTAAAACACTCTCCCACACTCCACCCCAAATCCCTCCTTCATTTACATATTGCTTCTTTAGGATCATAAAGACTTTGTACTTTAGCTCTGAAATCCTGAGGCCCCTGCCCAGCCATCTGCCTAGACCTTTTCAGGACCCACTAGTAGGCTTCCTGAGGGCCAGGTCTGCAGCTCTCAGGTGTCTGTCTCCCTGGCTTGGGTCTGTTGCCTGGCACATAACAGGCCCTGTACATATTTGTTAGATGAGTGAAAGATGAGCTAATTCACCACTGCTCTGGGTACATGGCCTTGGTAGACAGCCATACTTCAAAGATCCTTTGGATCTTTGTGCCAAAAGCATTTGGAGCCAAATTTGACTTCCTTCTGAATGCCATGCCTGGAACGATACTGATTAGGTGGACCAGGAAGGCCCTGTGATTCTGTGAAGGTGGACATTATGCATCTCCAAAGGCCTGCAGTCAACTGAAAATAGTGCTCATAACCATTTCTCACATCTGAGGAAGATCCTTCTGATGAGGTCAGAATGTGAGTTAGAGACATGTATAGAACTTACTGAAATGTGGTCACAAATTATAGATGCAGTCTGGCCAGAGACAAGAACACTGGAAGCTGTGACTGTGTGCACCTTCCCGTACTATATGTTGACATCCTAATCCCCAGGTACTGAGAAGGACAGAAAGACAGAGAAAATTATGGGGACATGGGAAGAGAAAGGGACCCCTCACCCATGTTGAAGCTTCTTGTGAACTAAGGATCAAGAATTCCAACACAATTAGCAACATTTGCTTAAGGCCATTCTCCTTTCCCAGCTGTAAACCTACAATTTTCTAGGAATCTCACCAGAAACCTCATTTACAGTAAAGGACATGTCCTAAATCTCTTGTGCAACCCTAATGGCTTCTGGTTTACCTTATCAGATTATAATCCCACCCTATAATCTCACTTACCAAAGAGAAAAAAAAGTTTCTTAGCAACCTTTTGAGATGTACTGAGAACTGCCAAAACGGTGTGTGTATATAAATGTGTGTGTGTGTGTGTGTGTGTGTGTGTGCGTGTTTGTGTGTGTGTATGTGTGTTTGTGTTTGTGTGTATATATGGCAAATGCTGACACTTGATGTGACTCCCCCGAAGCCCACACCCACACTCTTGACTTTCATTCTTTCTTTGAAAGTCTTTCTCTGTATTTTTAAAAACCCAACTGTACCTCGTACTTGTTCCCCTAGAGAGAATGAAGGGACTTCTCAGGTGGGGAGGGTGTCAGTATGGGGTTGTGCCTCTGTCCCAGCAACTGCTGGCACTATCTGTGAATATGACCTTGTTTGTTAAGTAAGTTTTGGAAGATGTAGTCAAGACAAGATGAGGCCATAAAACTCAAGGCCTGACAGCCTTATGAGGGAGAGATTTGGAGATAGACACATGGGAAAAAAGCCATGTGAAGATAGAGGCAGAAATTGTAGTGATGCATCTACAAGAGACTAGCGTGATTGCCAAGGATTACTGGCAACTCCTGGAAGCCCAGAGGGAGGCTTGGAGTAGACCTGAGCTCAGAGCTTTCAGGAGGAATTAGCCTGCTGACATGTTGACTTCTGGCCTCCAGAACTGAGATTGATTATACATCTGATTGGACTTGCTTTTTTATTTTGTTGTTGTTTTTGAGATAGGCTCATGTTCTGTGCCCCACGCTGGAATTGAACCCACAATGAACCTGCTTCAGCCTGGTGAGTGCTGAGATCACAGGTGTCTGTGACGACACTTGACCTACTTACGTTGCTTTAGACACCTTGTTTGTGGAACTTTGTTACAGCAGTCCTGGGACATTAATATTTTGGACCATTACCTGTCTTAACTTTTATATCAATATAAAACATCACTCTTTGCAATCACGTGGTTGCAGCCTTAAAACATTTCAAAAAACCCAAAAGCTAACTTAGTACAAAGGCTTAGAAAAATGATTGGATGTAAGATGAACAAGCTGAGATAAACAAGCTGAAGACATTCTGACTACAATAGCATCCAAGGCCATGAGTCTCCTAGCAACAAACTTGTGTAGGATCTTGATAAAGAGTGAGAGGCAGCGTGGAGGGAGGGGAAACTGTAACCAGAATCTATTATGTGAGAAAAAAAAAAGTCCATTTCCAATAAAAGGAGATTTTAAAAGAGATTTAAATAAAATAGGTATTGTGAAATAAGAAAATTAAATTTATAATTTTCCTCAGTTCCAAATTTCAATAAAGACTACCACAGAATATGTTGATTTAAAAATTCATATTTAATGATCAGGAGAAAATGACAAAGACAATTCTGAAAAGTGGGCAGAGGCCAGTCCTACAAATCATCAGAACATACTAAACTAGATACTAAGAATATAAGCTAACAAGTGTCAGCCCAGTGTCTATTATCCCCACCCAGAAGCAGACCTGACTGGGGCGGAGCATGATGAGAACTGGGGCCAAAGGAGTGCTTCTGCAAATTAAGAAAATCCCCTGCTGTGTGCATGAGAGACACATCTAATGCTAGCTCTGTAACTGGACCAACTAAATTCTTTCTGGGAGGAAAGGTGGCTTCTGTACCCTGCATCTGCGGTGACGGTGACATGAAATGCTGTTCACCAGGGTGAAAACAGGGGTGAAGCAGGAGGGATAGACAGTGGCCGAGGCATGTCTGCAGATCACTCCTGCACATCCTGGCCAGCTCTGCCACGTGCCATACTTTCTGAGTGATGTTTCATAATCAAATCACTAGGACAACTAACTTTTCTTCTCTCTCTCTCTCTCTCTCTCTCTCTCTCTCTCTCTCTCTCTCTTTCTTTCT